TCATAAATGCCCCTCGTACAGCGATATAGTCAGCGCGACAGGGTAATCAGCACTGCATGGTGACTCAAGAAATCATCTGAAGAGACTCATATCCAACTATCTATATCAGTAAACGCGTTATCTCTGAGACTGTACACACATTGCCTATAAATTTATCAGATTTTAAACAATGTATTTACATCTTTCCTGACTTCCACACGAGACTCCAGGAGAGCAACACACTGCGTTTTTTTTTTGTTTTTTTTTGTTTTTTTTTGTATTTTTGTTGCCTCTCGTTTTCCACTGACATAAAGTGGAACGGCTACATCGAATTAATAGCTGCATCTACTGCAAGGAAATTTGGGTCACTGTGTTGTGTTAGAAAATGTTCTCGCCAGAATTCATCTTGTACATTTACAAATCTACCATTTCCCCGTGCATTGAATTCTGCTGCTATATCTGGTCTGCTGCTCCTGCTGTACATCTCGTGATTCTTGACAAAATCCAAATAAATGTTCTGTAATGTAATCGACACTGACCAGACATCCCGACTTCCTTCACTTTCTCAGACACGTGACATGGCTTCCCTCTGGCAACATGATTTTAAGCGAGCTGCTAGATTGGCATTTAGGTCCCGCCTTTTTAGTGTTGAAATAGCTAAACGCAACCGCCATTTCTACTCCAATAGTTTCTTTTCTCTCACTTCCCACCTGTGGAATGCCATTCCGTTTACTTGCTTCCCTGATAACTGCAATCTTAAAAAAAATTAAATACAAAGTCAATCGTCATCTTTTTTCCTTTCTTCAATCCTCTCTATATACAGTTTTCTCATTCACTTTCACTCCATGTAACTCCCTACATATTAGTGGCATTTCCGCCTTGGTTGGGGTGAAATGATTAAAAAGAAAGATAACATTTCAGTAACTACAGTGTATTTACCTTTATTCTGACAAAAAATAAATACTTAACGATAAAAAAAATGTCATACAACAGCATCATACTTTATTTTCGTCAATAAAACCGCCAACTGCTTTAATTATTGCTTTACACATTTTTCACTTTCTTTCCAACAGCAGTAGATAGCAGTGCTTCCCAAGCTTTCTTCAAGCACTGAAAGAGCTCTTTTTCACTCGTTGTATATTCTCTTCGAACTTTCTTATCCAATACTAAATCAATGGGAAAGACGTCAGGAAATTGAGGCGGTCAGGTCATAATTTCCAAAATCTTATTCCTAATGTTGACATTGATATGAAGAATGTTTTGGATCGTTGTCTTGTTGAAAACTGATTTTTTTTTCCCACTTATGCGGAAACCAGATGGTATAGCATAAGCAAAAAACCAATATTGCATTTTTATTAAATAATTATTTGGTATTTTCATTTGGATTAGTAAATCGAATGATATTGTTCTTTTTTTCCATGATTCTTCAGTCCATATGGCAATCTTAAAAATCTAGTGAAAGGTTAATGCTGAAAACAGAGTATAATATTTCTCGTGCAAAATATTCGTAATTTAGCAAATTCCATTGTGGATAAAGGGATCCAATTTTGAACTTTTGGTAGTAAGTGGAGCGTGAAGAATGACTGAAAAATCAAATCAAACATTGTAGTTACAGAAATCGTATCTTTGACCTTAAAGATATGTTTAAAAAATATCTCATTTTAAGGTCTTTTAAACGAATACAGGGTGAATCCAATATTTTACATGTAGTGTACGCATTTGTAGGCCATATTTATATATAAAATTCAGTGACTTCCGTTAGTCCGTCTTTCACACCCTACAAAATAATCATATATTGACTGATCGAATCCAAATTTGGGAAAGAAGTGCAAACATGTAAAAGGGTAAAAAGTACAGTTGGCTTTACTAGGGTGTGTACCATAGAACAATAAATTATTATTATTATTATTATTTTGCAATAATTAAGTTGTATTATTTGACATACAAAATATTTCCACCATTTAAAAAACAACTTAATGATGAAAATACCAAATAATTATTTAATAAAAATGCAATATTGGTTTTTTGCTTATCTTTAATTTTTTATAAATGCTAGAATCCAGTTTCCAGTTCGCCCTGCGTTCACGAAAACTATAAACAAATTACAAGGCCAAATGCTTTAAAATGTTGGAATTTGCCCCAGAAATAAATATTTACGCGTGGCCAGTTGTATGTTTTATGTTCAAGTGTAAGAAATCTTAAGAATTTATTCTACGCTGTTAAAAAGGAAAATGGAAAAAAAAAATTTTCTTTAATATTTTTTTTACAATGAAGTACTCTAAAATTAAATTAAATAAAAGAAATTATTAAACCGCGAAGTAGGGTTTTGTCAAAGTAGTTTTCCAAGCAAATCAGCTTATTCAAATTTCATCGATTGATTTGCGAAATTGAACGAAACGTAGAAATTGTAAATCTCAAGACAAACGTTAGCGATAATTTCAACAATAGTAAATACAGCCATAATTTCAACACGCGTCAGTGTGTTGCTAAAAATATTCTAGTAAAAGTAAAATAACAAAGATAATTGTTAATTGAATTATTATATTAAAATGTTGCACATATTTTTTTCATTTCAACTGGTCGATGATACTTCGAAAAAAAACTATTAATTAATCTTTTCGGACGCCGTAAATTTTGAAAAAAAAAAGGTAAGAAATTAACGATCTACAAAAAGTAATTTTCGATTCTTTTTATTAAAATAAAATAAAAGAAGTCCATTGTTAATTATTATTTTTTTTTTTTTGATTTTGGGAGAGGTGCAAACAGGTAAGTGAAGGTACAAAGTACAGATGGTCTGACTAGAATGCGTAAAAAAAGCTTCTAAACATTTCATTGATTGGTTTGCGAAATTGAAAGAAACGCAGATTGAGTAAATCTCGCGAAAAATGTTAGTGATATCTTCAACAAGACCAAATATTGTAAAGATTTTGATTGGATTGGTTTGCTTTGTTTTACGGTTTATCAACCTCAATGGTTTATTTTATGCCGACAAGACTTTTATTGCTGGTTATATTTTTTTTCCAAACACGTATTGCTGGTAATATTTTATTTTCCTGATGTAATGAATATGCATACACCTGGGGTCCCCCTCACAATAATATGATTGGCTGGTATCAGCCATAAATACAGACTGATGTGGCGGTACATGGGCTACGCCTATCGACGACGCCTATAGTCTTCGCCTATTGCCTACGACGAGGACTAGTCCATTACGGTTACCTGCTAGATTGTCCTGCCCAGTTACATTAGTCAACAACCACTTTACTACTTCGAACAAATATATCCCTTCCCGGGACATATCATTTCCAAAAAGGTATTGATTGTAATATTCTTTTTCTTCAAAAATTTATTGATGGTAATAATTTTTACAAAGTATTTCTGGTATTAAAACCTATTTTTACTCTTTCGTAGTTTTTGACCCCATATTTGGGGGGTTAACTATTTGCTCATATCTAACAGGTGCTACCAACCCGGGTCAGAGTGAACATGGGGTCACCAGCAATTAATAGGTGGTTGCACGCTCCTCAAACCTCCTGATCAGAGGCCTTGCTGTTGGACGTATTTTATCGTCTTACCTACGACGCGGATGTAGTTTATCGTCATACCCAGGACGGTGTGAAGATTTTGAAAATTTAAGAAATGTATAGTGTCTGCCTTTCAGATTAACGTTATTGAGAGGAGTAATAGATAGCGGCTCGGATTGAGGAATCGGAGAGCCGAGTTCGAATTCCACTCGAATCCATTACATTCACTTACGTACTAATACCCTTGGGAAAGGTATGAATCCGCTTCTTCGCTCCCCAGATATGGGTAAATAGCATAACGGACCAGGTTCTATAGACTTGGATGGCAACTGGTCTACCGCAGAAAGAAAAGGCAACGTGCTGCGGGAAAAATCTGCCTCGTCATTCATTTATCGAAAGGTATATGATCGCCTAAACGTGCATGACGTATGACACATAACTGACTGAGAGGAATTGATAGATATCAGATGGTGCATAAAGTCAGGCGAATAAGAAGCAAGGGGAAGAAGCACATGAGGATAATTTCATATCAACTAATGGCAATGTTTTGAACATAATCTCCTTCCTTGTCAAAACACTTAACTCAGTGCTTCTCCATTAATCACCAAGATCGAAGAGGATACAGTAAAAAAATTATACAGTTACGTCTCAAAATATATTCTGGCTTTAAATAACTTGCAAAGAAAACGAATCAAATCAGTCAATGAATCGATTGATTGATTAGTTGAAAATGAATGAATCAATGAAAACATGATAGATCGAATATTATAAAGGGAAAATGTAATTTGAAAATCTAGCTTCTAATTACAAAGTTATTGATTTGCCAGTATCTAACCTCTGAGACACACGCTTACGACTTAGTGTTGGAAAATTTTCGACTTGCTCAAGCGACCCTTCCGAAAAGAATAAAATCTCTATTTCAAGTCATTTGATCAGAAATTTAGAAGTGGCTTGAGTAGAATTTTTCAGCACCCTCATTTATACGACAGGGTATATCTTTTAAATGAGATCACGGGGAAAATGACCGTACTGGTTCAGTGCGCAAACCGAAGGTTGTGTGAAGATTTATCGAAATGTCATACGTAGGGTGGAATACATTTGCTGCGACAATCACTTGTCACACAGGTAAATCGGTCGCGGGTTGAGAACAAATGGAAAGTGGGACGGACGTCGGTGGACACAGATTTCTTTTGTGAAGTATCGCCAATTGACTTTATTTGCCGGAACAAAAACAAATCGTCACAGTGTTTCTTTCATGTCATTTTATTCAATCTTCACTGTGCGTTTTGCAAAATATTTTATATTATTTTTTTATTCGCCCGATGGTATTGGTGGTGGTGGTTGTTGTTCTTCTCCTCCTCCTCCTCCTCCTTCTCCTCCTCCTCTTCTTCTTGTTCTTCCTTGCGTCTTAGTGACATTATTTCCTTCCTTGGGGTGAAATAAATTTATTTTTTAGAGACCGAATGAAAACCCGTTCAAAACTCTCAAGAGGGAAATTTATTTGAAAAGAACATAGTCGGCATTGCAAAGAAAGAAAGAAAGAAAGAAAGAAAGAAAGAAAGAAGGAAAGAAAGAAAGAAAAGCAAAACAATCAAACAGATAAACAATGGAAGAAAAAGTAAAGAAAGACAAAAAAGAAAGAAAGAAAGAAAGAAAGAAAGAAAGAAAGAAAAGAAGGAAGAAGTGAATGAATGAAGTGAAACAAAGATAAACGGACAATGAAAAATAATGAAGAAAGAAAGAAAGAAAGAAGAAAGAGAAAGAAAGAAGTAAAACCAACAGATAAACAGACAATGAAAAAATAATGAATGATAGAAAGAAAGAAAGAAAGAAAGAAAGAAGCAAACAAACAGATAAACAATGAAAGAAAAGTAAGGAAAGAAAGTAAAAAAGAGAGAAAAGAAAGATAAGAAAAGAAAGAAACGAAAATAACAAATAAAGAAAAAACGATAAAAAATATTTTAAAAAGTGAGTATTAGAAAGAAACATGAAGGAAATAAGAAGTTAAAAGCGTAAAGAAGACTATAGAACGAAGAAAAAGAATGGTAAATGAAAAAGAATAAGAAAGAAATAAAAGAATAACAGTAACAAATGTGACGCCAATGCAAATGAAAAAAAAAATTAGAAGTAACAGAAGTTTAAGAAGAAATTGAAGGACGGAACAAATGACTAGAGAAAAAGAGAGAAAATTAAAGATGAAAAACGAAGAATATAAAGCAAACACCAATTTCTTTTTTTAAATCAAAATAATTATTAAAAAAAAATGATTGAAAAATGATATTCCAAGTACACTGAACATCTTTAGCATGAAACTTAAAAGACAGACAAAGCGAAAATAATCTAAAAATTAGGAATACTTTAAAGCGATGCTCAAATTGTTTTTAGCAAATTTATTATAAAGAATTAGTAAGCTGTATTTGATTTATCTCATCGGATTTATTTAACCAATAAACCGTGATGATCCAAAGACAACAAGAAGACATATCAGAAATTATTATCAGCGGACATCGTCTTAACAACGTAAAATGCGCGAATGACAACGCGTTGATAGATACGGAAAGAAAACTTAAGGAACATCTAAATAAAGTAGTAAAAGAACGCAAGAAGAAAGGACTAACTATTCATTTTAATAATAATAAAAAAAATAATGATTATCTTCTATAAGTAAACAAGCCAAAACCTGAGCTACGTACCGAGAAATTTAAAATCAAGTAGCAACAGGAATTTAACTATATGTGTTATGCAGTAACAGACGTCGGATACTGTGACACAGGAATATCAAGACGCATAGAAATAGCAAAAGATCCCTTCCAGAAATTAAGCAAAGTATTAAGAAATAAGAACATTTAATCAGCAAAAAGGAAAAGAGCTCTGAACTGATATATATATATATATATATATATATATATATATATATATCCAGCTTTATGGCTATGAATATTGATCTGAGAATACCTCGGAGAGAAAATGTACGCAACGCGAACGACTTAAGGAAAATAGAAATTAAAAGGGCATACGATAATCGGAGAGATATATTTTAAATTACCGAGAGTAAAAATAAGAAAAGAATGCTAAGTAAATTTAACACTCACAAGGCAAGTGAGGACGAGTGAAATACTGTTCAATCTAGTTAACAATTTTCTGTGAATCTAGGACAGGACAAAGATTACAGATGATAGGATATCGTGGAGATCCTTCATCGCCCATGTCCTGAAGGGACACAAAATATAAAGGAAAGAGATATGTATGCTGTAGGCCTGTTTCGCACTCAAGTGTTAGAGTTAAGGTGAAAAAGAAACCCGCAAGTCATCTAGGACATTACTATTAAACAAACTGGCGAAGAAAATCGTCTGCTTTGAAAGGTAAAACTTCTCCTCCTGCTTCTCCACCTCCTCCTCCTTCTCCACCTCCTCCTCCTCCTCTTTCTTCTTCTTCTTTGTCCCATATCTCTTCAGGACGTGGGCGATCGTGACTCAGCATAATTTTCTGCCATTTGTAGTGCTTAGTAAATTTTCTCCTTTGACTATGTCTCCTAGACCTTGTTTCGCCAACCTATTGCACAAGCTTGTTAGGTAAGCTATGAGTTGTTTCCAACTGGCCTTCTTGTTTTCAGAATTTCCGGTGAGTGTTATATTTTCTAAGCCTTCTTCCTTCATTAATTTTCCTAGGAATTTCAGCTTTCTCTTTCTCATATTCATTATAAGTTTCCTTTTTCTTTCTGTTTTCTCTCAAACATTTTTTTGCTCACATGTTCAGTCCATGGTATTCTCAACACTCATCTGTCGAACCACATTCTTATTGCCTCTTTTTCATCTGTGAGGAGATTGTCCAACATTCTCTTCTATATCAGATGTGTACGTTTTCTTTGTTTCTATCGAAATCTTCATGATTCTTTATACTTTGCTTAGATTTAGGAAAGTATATTCGATTTAAAAAAAAAAAAAGCACATACAATTTTAAATTTGAAGAGATGCCACGTAAGGGAAGATTCAGTTCACGAAAGAGCAGACAAACACCGTATATCAACGACATTCACATCGCAATTCAAATAAGGACAAAGCAGTTCAGTCGTTTTCAACTGTTTTCTTTCCCCACAACCGCCATTAACACAAACGACGACTGCGACGATAGCGTTATTTGATGAGGCCTTAAGCACAATGAGGTGTGAAAAGACATTTTTTTAACTCATAATCAAAAGATTGCTGCGAAGTGACCTTCACACCTAAGATGTTTTCCAAAACCACTTCAACGTCGACCAATGATTATTCAGCACGTCAAAAAATACATACACACACATATATAAATATAAGTGGGAAAGACAGATTTTTAAAAAAAATCTCATTATATCTATATTCATTTCCTTTTTATCTTCCATCGAACCCCACCCACTTCGCGCAGACATTTGCCACTTCCTGTCACATGATCTTTATTTTTGTTCACCATTTTTCCTGCTACTTCAAAACCCGATACAACACTTATTTTCAACTATTTTTTTTTCCTTTCAAAAATTCATCATTATAATTCCTTTTGTAATATTCTTTAATCTCGCTTTCTTTCTGCGACTCGATTTTCCTAAATCATTTCATATCAATTTACACTGTAGCGTCTTCGTCTCTTACATTTTCTTTAATAAGTCTCCAATTTCACAGAGTCTTTCTTTTTCTTGACTTGTCTGCATTTGTCTGATTCGTTTTTGTTTTTTTTTAATATTACTATATCTATGGATCTGTGATATATTTCGATTCGATATTCATCATAGGAAGATCTTTAGTAAACCGCAATTTTTCTTCTAAAAACTTTGATTAGACAGTTTAGTTTTAAAAAAATTTTATCTAATGTTTGTAACGTCGCATTTCCATTAAATTTCATTTTCTTTTTTTTTTTCAACTATCTCTCCGTCTGACTATTTGTCTGTCGATCTATAATAACCTGCTACTCTGTTTTCCAAAGCACACACGTCTGCTAAAACGGCCATAAAATTTCAAGATCACACATATCTGCAAGCCAATCATTGTCGTAGTGTTTGTTCAAAACTTACAGAGTCCACCTGTGATTTAAAATGCAACTGTGCTGGGCGAACATTACAAGTTCTAGGAGATAACGCATATGTCACGTTCTGCACTTTAAACAAAGCCAGAATACTCAAACCCTCGGTCACGATGACTTGTGACTTCGTGCTAGCAAAACCATCGCCGTCTACGTAATTTTGCTCACAAGGCTGGGGTCAGGTCGTAGTATGGTTTTAAGTTCCTAAGATGCTGCACTTATAAGCGTTTTCTGTTCATATCTAGCTACCTCAATGGCTGCCCATCTTAAACTATCCATTTCTATCTATCTATCTATCTATCTATCTATCTATCTATCTATCTATCTATCTATCTATCTATCTTTATATATATTGACTTTCCAATCGTCCTGACATTTTAATGCCAGCCTCTTCTTCTCACTTTTCACTCAAAATCTTTCAACCAATTTCAGTCATTTTCCGACCCTCTCCTTTCCCATTTTGGTTTCTGTCGCCACTTCACAATTTTCTAGCCATAAAACTAACATATTTCCTATCTCAGAGGTTCATCATTGACTTTTGACCAATTTCTTTCCTCTTCTTACCTGTTTAATTTAAAAAAAAAGCAATGCGTTTTCCTTCACACACTGCAGATCCTTTCAGTGAGTAATATGAAAAATAATAATTGGAACACACACACACACACACACACATATATATATATATATATATATATATATATATATATATATATAAATGTATAAATAAGTTGTAACTCGAATAAGATATACAGAAAAAATAGACAGGCGTTAGTGTCATCATTAACAAGAGTTTCTAAAGGAAAAAAATAATTGTAATCATATCAGAAAAACTGTTAAAACGGTCTATAAAATTGAACACCCGACACACACACATAGACACAGAAACACAGACAGACAGGCACACACACACACATATATATATATATATATATATATATATATATATATATATATATATATATATATATATATATATATATATATATCCATGAAATGTTATAAGATTGACGGAGCCTCAGTGGAAGTCTTGGGAAGTACACCGCCATAAAAACGGGAAATAGTATAAAACGAATCTTCAATGCTTTCCACTTATACAAAAGAATTCTTAATTTTCCCCTATTTTTTTTTCCAAAGATCCATTCCATTCAATCTTCATCCCTGATATTTTTTCTTTTTCTTTTATTTTTTTTACAGAAATAACATTTTAATTTTTTTTTTCTTTTTTGCCCTTTTTTTTTCTTGCTTTTATTTTCTGCGTTTGTCCTTTGTTGCGTACTGTTCATTTTCTTCGAATACGAGGGTGAACTGACAAGGTCATAGGTTGGCTATGTAGGTGTGATGCTAGAGCAGTGAGATTTTGCATGCAATTATGTCACTAGGATTTCTATTCTGCTTATTAATGTTTTGACCAGTGGCACTCTGATCCGATAGGTGGCAGGTGAGTCTCCGTGAAAATGGAGTTGTGGTGTGTCCAAGTAAAACAAACAAATAACAATCTGGTTATTAAAAATAATATATCCCAACATTCCAACCCCCTACACAAGACCAATTTTATGTACGAGTTTACTTGCTCACTCGGAGAATGTTTCTCTGTAAGTAAAAAACACAAATTATCTTTATATAGTTATACCACAGGATTGCTGCCGAAATACACTATATATATATATATATATATATATATATATATATATATATATATATATATATATATTCGAACCTGCATCCTATAAAACGTAATGTTTTCCATATATATATATATATATATATATATATATATATATATATTCGAACCTGCATCCTATAAAACGTAAATGACGGTTCCATATATATATATATATATATATATATATATATATATATATATATATATAGTGTATTTCGGCAGAAATCCCTTTTTTAATAAATTGACGAAATACTGTGATTAATATTTTATTCGATTTACCACTGACGTGTTTACAGCCATAACTGAATTTGTATACCAAGCTCTTGATAATAACTTCGAAGTTAAAGCAGTGGCTCTATATATCTCCAAGGCGTTTGAGAGGATTTAGTAGGCCGACCTTCTACGTAAGTTTCAAGGATACGGTATTACAGGAAGATTATTTGGTTTAATCCAATCATTCCTGTCAAACCATGAAATGAAGGTCGTCCTAAATGGGTTCTCCTCCAGTTCCTTTCATACGAAAGCTGGTGTTCCCCTAAGGCCCTATCCTGCGTCCTACACCGTTTCTGATCTTAATCAAAGATGTTCTTGATGTTATCAGTTTTCAAATAGTCATCTACGCAGACGACACTACTATTTACTCCTGTCTCAATAGTAAATCCGGCATTACTGACAAAGTTAGCCTGGCCGTTGGTCTCGAAAAGAACCTCCAATCTCTGGTTGACTTTAGCAGAAAATGGCTTGTAAATTTTAATACCTCCAAAACGAAACTGCTCTTGTTTACCCACCGTAGAGAAAAATCCCTGTCTCCTATCAGCATGGCTGATGCTCAACTTCACGAGAGCGTTCCACTGCGACTTCTTGGTATTACGTTTTACACTGCCCTCAGGTGAAACAACTACTTTGAGTCAATAGCTAGATCTACCGAAAAGAATGTTGGCTCTCTGTATCACGCTAGAAGGTTTTTTCTCGTTTGATTCCATCCTTCGAATATAGAAATCTATCATTCGCTCTTGCATTGAATACTGTTGTCATATATTGTCTGATGCCCTCGCTGTTCATCTCGGGGTTCTCGACAAAATCCAAAGACGGATATGCAATGTGATAGATCCTGACCTGGCATCTCGACTCCAGCCACTTTCTTACGGACGCATGTGACTTCCCTCAGTCTTTTCTACAAATATTTTCAAGGCAACTGCTATGACGAGCTATTTTCACTGGTGCGCCAACTGCATGAATTTAAGCGCGCTACTAGGTTGGCATCTCGGACCCACCCTTTTAGTGTCGAAAGACTTAAATATAATCACCTCTTCTACTCCAAGAGCTTCCCAACAGTGGAACTCCCTTCTTCTTACTTGATAAGTATAATCTTCAAAAATGTAAATGTAATATCAGTCGACATCGTCTGAGGCCTTGATCTTCATCCGCGTCCTTCTCTTTATCCTTTCTTCAAACACCCCCCTCTTTTCGCTTACTCTCAATCTCTGTAACCCCTTGCGTGATAGTGGCATTCCCGCCTTGCTTAGGGGCAAATGCTATATATATATATATATATATATATATAATACGTCATCCACAGACAGACTGTTTCGCTGTTTACAGCTCATCAGTGTGGCTAGACATCAGGTTGCCTATAGCTAGGATCGAAACCCGACTAAATTGGTGTCAGTCGGAGCTTCTAACCACTAAGCCGTCGGCGCACGGAAGGTGGATTTTTAGCATATTTATTTTTAGAAACATATATATATATTTTTTAGCATATTTATTTTTAGAAACATATATATATATATATATATTATTTAAATTCGTACCCAGAGTTTAATGAATTTTTTCATGGAATTCAAAGCAGATGCTTTTGGAAAACTAAATTTAATTACTAATCGTATTTTTCCTCTACATAAAAACTAAAAACAAATAAGTTATTTTCACGATGATGTCAAATTTTAAAATATTTCTATTGATGAATAAATTTCTGAAATTTATTCTTTTGATTATCAAACCATCCGACCATGATGATCTCTTTTAGACGAAACTCTGGCGTCGGACAAAATCATTGATTAATTCGTTTTCTACTTCTTACCAACAGCAGATTATTTAAAACCAGATTTTTTTTTAAGAGAGGAAGATATTGATGATTTAATGATACAATTCTTTCTAATTAACTCTGGGATAGATAGGTTGGATTCCTATTTTTCCCAATGGAATTTGAATATGATTTAACAAATATAACCAACAGAATGGGAATTGGAACTCGGCTCTCTTATAAAAAAAATCCGAGCCATTATCAAATACACCACACGAACAGATAAGGTTACCGTATCTAGTAATCTCAAATGGTTACTCCTTTAGGTACTGACCAGGCTTGACGTTGCTTAACTTCAGTGATCGTGCGGAAATGAGTTTTTTAATGCTGTAAACCAGTGCAAGAGATATGAGTCGCTTGAACTTCCACGATTAGATATTTGTTGACTTTATTTTTAAAGCCTCCCAATAAAAGGTTTTACTAAAGAAAAAACAGGTAAAAAGGAATACCAAAGAAAACTGAAAATAAAGAGGGCCCTATCTAATCAAAGGTGTAGTGATCAATCACTTCAGATATCTGGGCAATATTTATTGAAACAAAGCAAGTTCATTTGACCATTGATGACAATTCCAGAAACTATAAACAATTTTTTTTTGCTATCCTCTGCCAGCCGCAATGATGGAGAAAGCATTACCTCGAACCATCGCCAGTGAGACACGCTGCAAGAGCCACACCGTTTCGCGAGGCTCGTCCCTTAATCGAGACGAAATCGCGCCAATCCTCCTCTTCAGATATTAAACCGAAACAAAAAATAACAAAATGCTCTCAGGTATTCAGATATAAATCCTAATTCTGAACTTTCACGCTAGATAAAATGAAAATGGCAAAAAAAAAAAACATCGAAAAATGACACATGGCACAGTGGATAAAGGCGTTACTTAGATTCAATGAAATGACCCAAAGCGTGTAAGTTCAATACCCGGCTAAGGCAATGGAAAACCTGGAGAGGGGGGAATTAATTCAGAGGCGATAACTGATAAATAAATTTATCCATTAAAACATGGCACGTTTTAGAACAGTTTACCCCAGTGAGCGAAATAAAGGGTTCAGTTCAACATTCCAACCACCTGAAGAAGGCCGGAGCGTACAACGGCCGAAACGTTGTAATAAATATATGGCGACAAAGATGAGGACAATAGTCCGAATAATGTAAATAGTGTTTAATACCTCATCTCAGAAATATAGACAGAAAAAGAAAAGGCCGGAGCGTACAACGGCCGAAACGTTGTAATAAATATGGCGACAAAGATGAGGACAATAGTCCGAATAATGTAAATAGTGTACATAATACCTCATCTCAGAAATATACACAGATACTGAAAAAGGTCGGAGCGTACAACGGCCGAAACGTTGTAATAAATATGGCGACAAAGATGAGGACAATAGTCCGAATAATGTAAATAGTGTACATAATACCTCATCTCAGAAATATAGACAGATACTGAAAAAAAAAATATAGCGTACAACGGCCGAAACGTTGTAATAAATATGGCGACAAAGATGAGGACAATAGTCCGAATAATGTAAATAGTGTACATAATACCTCATCTCAGAAATATAGACAGATACTGAAAAAGGCCGGAGCGTACAACGGCCGAAACGTTGTAATAAATATGGCGACAAAGATGAGGACAATAGTCCGAATAATATAAATAGTGTACATAATACCTCATCTCAGAAATATAGACAGATACTGAAAAAAAACAGCCGGAGCGTACAACGGCCGAAACGTTGTAATAAATATGGCGACAAAGATGAGGACAATAGTCCGAATAATGTAAATAGTGTACATAATACCTCATCTCAGAAATATACACAGATACTGAAAAAGGTCGGAGCGTACAACGGCCGAAACGTTGTAATAAATATGGCGACAAAGATGAGGACAATAGAATAATGTAAATAGTGTACATAATACCTCATCTCAGAAATATAGACAGGTACTCAAAGTATTTTACAAGTTTTAAATTGGTAATGTTCTTTACAAAATGTGGGACGTTACTAGCGACTACGACTTTTTGAAGTTCCTTTAGATAAAGTTCACTTAGCATTTAGTCTAAGAATTGGCTAATTTCTTTGTTTATCAGACCGAATTCTTCTAATTTTACTGGTATAGTAGTGGCTTCCATGGCCCCCATCGTCTGAATCTCAATTTTAAGATCTTTGTACTGTTCTGTGTTTTTCATTTTCATTTCCCAAAGCCTCTGTCGTAAATTCCCGTTTTCTCCTTTTAAATGTATTCCCTTTTCAAAGTTTTTCTTCTTACTTTTCTCTTCCCTCCTTCTATTTCCATCCATCTCTTTACAAAAAAAAAACCTGTCATCTTGTAAACGCTTTTCTCATCTTTTCACGACACACGATTTAAATGTTTCTCTTTTGTCCTTAAAGTTTTCCTACATTCTTGTCTTTTACCTTCATTCTTTTTTTTCACTTACTTGTAAATTCTCCTTTTCTCGAATTCTTACATTTTCCTTCCAATGTTTTTTTTTTCTTCAGAATTTCTTTTTCTCTTTTGTATTCCATTTCCATTCTAATATCTCCAAAGACCTGTTGCTTTCTTGTAAACGCTTTTGTCATCTTCCCACAAGCACTGTTTATTCAAAGATTTTTTCTCTTTTCTCTTCATATTCTTGTTAATTTCTCACTACTCATACTTTTCTCTCAAAAGACATGTCATTCTCTTGTAATCTCCCGCTTTCTCAACTTCCTCACAAATACTCACCCTTAAACACTACTTTTCTCTCTCTCACTCTTTCTATCTGTCTCTCACACACACACACACAAAATCTCTCTCTCTCTCTCTCTCTCTCTCTCTCTACTTCACTTGAGAGACCAAAATGTCTTTTTTATTCTGATATTCACAGGCCGCATTTTTCTTCCCGACGAATACGCCTTCCAAGATGTCTCGGTTTCTTTTAGAAGAAAAATGAGTTATTTTTTCCATACAAATAAATTCACACTAGGAAGCGAATGGAAAGTGTTTTTATGTAGTGGGAAATTTGCATAATATCCACGGGATATCTTCACGCCTTTTATAAGACGCCACATATTACAGTTTCGTCTATGGTGCCATTTTTTTCTTCGCCAAAATATTTTCATACGCTCAGCAGTGGGTGACATTTTTCAAATCTCATGCGGTACGATATCCACACGTAAAGTTTTTCAAGTAGAAAATATCGTTATGAAATTTTATTGTCTTTTTATGTTTCATTAATTTCGTCATCCAGGTCTTTAGTGTCCTTTTCCTATTTATTGCTACATTTCCTTCATATAATTCTAGGTGTTTTTATTTTCTATTTCTTCTCCGTTTTCCGGCTAATAACCTGTCATTCTTACGTCATTTTTATTTCTTTATTTCTTTTTCCTACGTCATTTCCCTCTTTAACTTTTCAATCTGTTTCTTTCTAGGTTCGATTTCAACTTCTATTTTTTTTTTCTTCCGGCTTCCTTGTTCGCTGCTTTCTTTTCAGTCTTTTGTTGTCTTCTTTTCGAAAATTTATTTCAATTCCTGTTAAATTCTTCTTTGAATACTTTTTTCATTTTGAAATTTATTTTCTTTCGAAATTCTCTCTTTTTTTTTAATTAATTTTCTATTTCAAAAGTTCCATTCTGCTTTGAGTCTTTCTTTTCTTTTTCCTTTTTTCTTTTTTTTTATAACATTTCACTAGTTCTTTTCCCTTCTTCTTTTTTGGTTTTCCTTTTCTTATTCCCTTTATTATTTCATTTCCTCTCTCTCTCTCTCTCTCTCTTTCTCTCTCTCTCTCTTCAATTCATCTATCCCTTCTACCTTTTTATACTCATCACGTTCTTTCTGATATTCTCAAATCGTTTTTTTTTATTATTTTACGAAGCTAAATTATTGCATTTAATTTCATCGTCCATATCTTTCTTCTATGCAGACCCCAGCACATTTGTTGCTTGGATAGTTCCATCCTTTGATAAATTTTTAAATCATCCTATCTCTTCCCGCAACTTCACAAATTATTCTCTTCTTTATTTCTACTCTTCTTTCTCTCTTTCTTCTTGTTCTTGTTCTTCCTCTAATATAACTTTTCCTTCTCTTTTCACTACTTTCTTCCCCTTTATAATCTATTATTTCTTTTTCTTCTTCTACTACCACTTATCCTATATATTCAACTATTATTACTATTATTATTCTCTAAATTCTATTATTACTCATCTTCTTCTTCTTCTTCTTCTTCTTTTTCTTCTTCTTCTTCTTATTATTCTATAAATTCTACTATTCTTATTTTTCTTCGTCGTCGTCTTCTACTTGTTCGAGAACAACTTTTCCTTTTCACTCCTTTTTTCTTTCTCCTTATTTTCATTTAATTCTTCTTTATTTTCTATTTATCCTATATATTATACTATTCTAATTTTTCTTCTCCTTTTTCTTCTAAAAGAATTACCCTTCTCTTCCTTTCTCCTTATTATCTTTTCTTTGTCTTCTTCTATAAATTCTATTATTCTTCTTTTCCTTTCTTTCTTTCTTTCTTTCTTTCTCTTCTTCTTCTTCTTCTTCTTGAAGCAGTGTCTTTCACGAGATATATTACTTTTTTGTTTCTTTTTATTCTTCTTCGCTTTGTATAAATTATTATTTTATTGACATGGAATGAAATATTTGAATCTTGGAAAACAGTTTTTGAATCGGATAAATATTTTTCAAATTATCTTTGAATGGGATTTTTTTTTTTTAAGTATAACAACAAAAACAACAACAACAACAACGAGGATGTTTATTTTTGGCCCAGCATTTTTCATTTTTTCCCTCCATTTCTCCATCTTATTTAAATTTTATTTTTTTTTTTTTTTTTGAATCCCCTCACGTGTATATCACGGGTCGACAAAAAGGTTTTTGTGTGCGCTTTCAATTCTATTGTTGAAAAAACATCTAGCGCTTGAAAATATGAAAATAATATTTCTTTAGGATTTTAAGAGAATTGAATTCTGTTTTTTTTTTCTTTCTTCTTTTTATTTTTCAAATATCAAAACACGTTTCACTATCCGTTGCTCTCTCTCTCTCTCTCTCTCTCTCTCTCTCTCTCACTCTCTCTGCAATACACGCGAAATTTACATCACTTAGAAATGGAGATTTTTTTATTACTAAAAAGAAAACCACACCAGCGCAAAACGGCAAGTAAAAAAGTCATGATTTCTTACAATAAACAAAACAGCTGGTTCTAGGCCGATCCCAGCCTCAATACACAGTCGACACAACAAACAAACAGCCATTGACTTCTTTCAAAATCGCGATACGACAAATTAACCCATGTGCCGAAATATGAAACAATCAAAAGTAATGTAGATACCTTCTTTTTTTATATGCCGTGTCCATTCAGGACGTAGGTGATCCTGGCTCTCCACATTTTCTATTCCTTGTAGTTCTCAATATGTTTTGTCCTTTTTCTACTTCTCTCAAACCCTGTTCTATCATCCACTTGCTTAAGCCCGCTAGGTATATCACGCATTGCTTTCCCTTGTCTCACTGTCCCTCTATCCGCCTTGTGAGCCTCAAATTCTCCAAGCCCACTTTTCTCATTACGTGTCTCCGAAATTTCAGTTGCCTCTTCCTGAAGTTAAGTATAAGTTTCCAGCTTAGTTGTATCCTCTCCAAAACCTCATCGTTGCTCACATGTTCGGTCCATGGAATCCTTAGCATCCTTCTGTAGAGCCATACCTCCGTTGCCTCGAGTTTCTTCTTAATCTTTGAGGAGGCCGTAATGTAATCAATTCAGTAAAATAATTGCAAATGATTAAATCAGTGATAGATAGATAGATAGATAGATAGATAGATAGATAAAAATAACCATTAAAAACAAAACTTTCCAAAGATAGAAAGAGAAAAAAAAGATTTTTGACTTTTAATCTATGTTCTGTTTTTTTAGATAGATAGATTTATAATTTGACAATATAGACTGTTGATGACACAATTTGAGCGTTATATATACTCACACAAACGTATGCAAACATGCGCAAATGCTCAAAAACAGGCACAAGCACACACATTTAAATACACATAAAGATCCTTTTTATTTATATATATTATATAATAAAATACAAAAAACATTGTTTTCACATACACGCAAATACACACACGAAAATATGGATACATACGTATCCACGCAAAGCACACATACAAAATCACTCCCGCAAATGCAAACACATGCAATGATGCATACGCAAGTGCAAACACATACATGCACATATGCATACACACAAAATCTACATACACAGGCATATATATCGCGTATCGATTGGGTACATCGGTTTAGTGTAATGGTTAGCAAGCTTGTCTCCCTAGAACAATTACGGCTGTGTAGTCAATTCGTTCTTCATTCGATTCCCCAATATATTCGGTTATGTACAACGTTTAAGCAACCATATCGCGTACCAACTTTACTATAAAAGTAATACATTGATCTTATCAAATTATAAAACAGATCCGCTTTAAAATGTTTTTTTTTTTAAATTTCAGTCAATATCCTGAGTATCTTACATTTGAAAAATTACATTTTACAAATTACATTAAAAAAATGAGTAAATATCTCTAAAAAAAAAAACAAAAAAACAAAAACATCGCGTCTTGTTACATTTATAAGGCGTGTATAGCTTAGATGAGGAAAAATTCAAAAGATTTTTGACCCATAGTTGCTAGACTTTAAAGTTTAATCTTTGTGTTTTTCTTAGACGTAATCGATTTGAATTATTATTATTATTTTTATTTTCTTTGATTTCTGGCGTTTACACATTTCTTTCCGGGTCCCGCCCAGTGACCTAAGGTTAGAAATGGCGTCATTGATATTTTCCACTGACAAAAAAAAAAAAAAAAAAAAAAAGTATTACATAGATAAAGCCCTTCGTAAGGTGTGGGCTGTACTTGTCAGAACAATTTTCTGTATCTCCTTGAGGCATGGACTTCCAGGAATCCCTTCAATTAGTCTACTGGAATTTCTTCCAACCAGTCCTAGGGCTCCAAATTAATCACAAAGAACTCTGTTGATGTTTCCATATGCCACATTTTCGCGATTTCTATTTCAAAAACCTTGTATTTGACAACTTTTTTTGAATATCTTCAAAGATACATTGCAGTCGGCAGGGACTGCCATATCAATAAAGGCACCGATTATTATTATTAATATTATTATTATTATTATGTTATGTTTCCTGTTCTATATTCTGTAGAGCCAGTTCAAATTCAGAAGACGGTTTTACCTTTATTTCGATTTTATTAGCTAAGAAAAAAAAGTCTATGCTTAATTTGCAAAGATATAAGGCAGCGGTTGGTAAATATTGTCATTAGCAATCCATAACTATTGTTTTGAATAATCAAGAGAGGTATCTCGTTGTTTTGTTACTCTCCTCTTTGATAGAATTTTCAAAATGTTTACTGGGACTATAAAAATTGACACTATTTTCGAACAAAGTATTCTCAGTTGAATAAAGTTTTTTCTTAAAACCTAAACCTGCGTACTTTTGTCATTACTAAAAAACTTCACTCGTTACTCATACTTTCCCTCTTCTTCTTCTTCTTCTTTCTTTTTTTCTTCTTCTTATTATTATTATTATTATTATTATTGTTATTATTATTATTATTATTTTGTTATTTTTCTTGCTTTGTATCCTGTTAAGCTGGTTCCAAAATATGGTCCTTAGGCCCTATAGAAGAATTGTCATTTAATTGATAGCACTTTTCTTAGTATATGGGATGTTCCTAGTAGGGCGATCTTCTGGGCAACTTGTATGTTGATGTTACCTGGGACACTGTTAGTAAAATTGTCCATTCCTTTTCTCACGAGGCCCAGAGTTCCGATTACTATTGGTACAGTCTCAGTCTTCATTCCCCACATCCTGTTAATCTCGATCTCCAGGTCCTTGTATTTGGACAATTTCTCGATAATTTTCATGGAGGTGTTTCTCTCAGATGGTAATACTACGTCAACAACCATACACTTCCTGCATTTTTTGTCTTTTATGATAATATCAGGTCTGTTGGCTTTTATCAGTTTGAATTGACATGTCCCAGAGGATAGTTACATCGTTATTTTGGATAACTGTGTCTTGTTAGTGCTCATACCATCTCTCAGTGGTTTCGATTTTGTGATTCTTGCATATCTTCCAGTGCATATATGTCGCTACCTTGTCATGTCTGTGGGTATATTCACTTTTTGTTAGTCCCGGAAATCCTGAGATAATATGGTCGATAGTTTCATCATATTTACTGCAGATCCTGCATTTCTTTTTAGTTCAATCCTTGATTATGTGACAGTGATAGGATCTGGTTGGGAGGCTTTTTTCCTAGCTGTAATAATTTTTTGTTTCATTTCAACCATTCTCCTTAGTATTATTAATTTTATTATTATTTTTATTGTTATTCTAAATTTCTGTTGTTTACACATTTCCGTTTTTTTCCATTTCCAAAGACCTAAGGTCAGAAATGTAAGAATTGATATTTTCCCCTGATCATTTTTTTAAAACAAACAGTTTTCAAAAACATCACACATACCATCTGTTTTGATAAAAATTTTTTCGTAACGTGTTTTTTGTACAGTGAGTAAATTCTTTTGCATTTCTGTAAGGCATGTGCTTTTATTTCCATTATATTGAGTCTACCAGAACCTTTTTTCCAATCAATTCAAGGGCTCCATCCTGTACTGAAATTATCAGCATTCATGGGTTTCTATTTTTTCGATATCCATTTCAAGAAAAATTCATTTTTGAATATTTATTTTAAATTATTATTAGATTATTGATTTTATTATTATTATTTTTTTTAAATCAATCATTTTCTGGTTTTGTACTCATTTCTTTCTCTTTAATTTTTGAGACTTAATGTCATTCATGGCATCATGAATTTTTGATTTGAGCAATTTAAAAATTTAGATTTGTTTTCCTAAATATTACACAAAATTACATAGATAAAGCCCTTCCTAATATGTTTTTGATCTAAATTGAAATATTCAAAAATTTTTGTTTTTTTTTTTTTTCCCTTCAGTGAGTTTCCATCAATCCGAAATAATGCTCTTTACTTCAACAAGAATTGTTGATGTTCTCATAAAACATTTTTTTATTTCATTTTTTTAGGTTATTGTATTTTGATAGATTTTTATGTAGATCTTCAAAGATTCATTGCATATTGTTTCCGACTGGCATATCAATAACAAAAATTTGTTTGTTTTTGTTTTTGTTTTTTGGGGTCCGGTCTCTAATAACGATGTCAGGGCGATTAGCATTGAT